ACGTACAATTGCCACGTTCCGGCAATGGCCGTTACAAATTGTCACAGGAAATGTTTTATTAAAAATAAGTGTCACAAGGTAAATTATACGGCGAGGTACTGTCATGAATTTGTTCGCGTATCTGTTGACCGACTTGTTTAGCTGATTACTATGCGAGGTTCTGGACGGAACTTGACTCAGTGATTTGGAACTAATTACGATATAACCGTTGCCATCCGGACCGCTATTTCTGACAGTTGGTATTCGCAGTTAGTAATATAGTGAACGATTAATCAAAAGATATGACGTGTCCAGTACTTAGTGTGATTGGCTGTATGTGTGAAGGTTACGCCCTAGAGTCTTTAAACTTTTTTTGTAATTGGTTAAGGTTTTGAAAGTGAATAAAGGAGTTTTAGTTGGTCTTGGAGAGAACACCACGAGAGACGGAGTCTTGGGTCAGCCTTGCATAGTCTTGGGGACTTTTCCGCAGGGCACTATGCTTTATGGAGTACTCGACTGACCGACTAAAGACGAGAGTTGAAACGTATTTCGTTGTGTGCGTCTATTTGACTGTAGAGCTTATGTGATGTTCCCGGTCCGGTACCTCAAGCAGACGAGATATAGAGACAGACGAGAATTTCCCCCTGACACGGGTTGGAGAACCCCTCAGAGTGAAGAATTTCCCCGTGATAGTACTATGATGTGGTAAAATCGCCAGACAGTACAGCTGGAGTTTTAACCGAAACGCAGCTTAGGTCGATGGGACGGCGTACTGTCCGAGTGCATACTTCCAAGGATGCATCATGGGAATGCCGAAATCCAAAAATTTTAGAAACCCATCCGGTTAAAAGCCATCCTTCTTTCCAGAGTTCTTTGCGGTTAGACCAACGAAAGTATCTCTGCCACCACACACCGCCATTTTGTTGTGAAACACCACAAGACTTTTACTACACTTATCATTTGCGTATTTTTGTAATTACAGGGCTCTCGTGTTGATTTATTTCTACTGGAAAACAAGCTTTAAAATATGTTATCGATAGCTGATAAAGATTTTTTCCGTAAATGCACTGTCAAAGGTGAAATAGTTATAATTTACTAAAAA